CGAAATACGTATAGAGTTATACTAAAAAATAACGCACGAAATAAAAGTTAACATTCTTAAAAAACAAAACAGATTTTAATACATAATATGTTATACAATATGTCAATCGATACAGTATTATATTTTGTATCAAAACAAATACTATTAATGTATATAGGATACGAAATTAAAGAATTTTGCTTTATATACTTGATTTAGTTTACATCAAATTGCAATTCTCAAAATTTTTCTTCAAAGTTAATTACGTTTTCAAAGAGTCAGAATAGTTAATTTTTAGATTAATTAATTTACCTCCTCATATACATATTTTAACATAATTAAAAATAAAATATATCCTTTAAAGCTTTAATATTTTTATTTCTGAATTGACTAAAAAAATGATTTTTTTCCTTACATATATTTTTATCATTGACTGTTATCATAAATGTACATAACTGCTAAACAAACAAACCATCAACACCAATTCTACCACCGAGATTGTAGATTGTGCTATCAATTACTTTAACAAATTTGTGTAACTATTCACATCAAAGCCAAAAATAAATTTTGAAGAAAAAAAATATGATAAACTGTCTCGGTTAATGTTGAACCACATCATTAGTCTTGTCGGCTTACAGGCGACATATTGAATTACTGCAGCATTAAAATGGTTTATAGGATATGTCAAGAGATAGCGTGGCAGTGAAGCTTTTTGTGTATAAAACTATTGTACTCCGGGCAAAAAATTATTAATATCAAAAGTCAGAAGTACTCTAGAGCATAGCAAAGCACTTAACAGATAGAAATTAAAATGTGGATGTACTTTGCTATTTAATGAAGTAAATTGACTATGAGTAACACTTTAATTTTATTAAAAACAATATAACATATTTAATTATTTTTATTCAATTGGGAAATTACTATTAGTATAGTTATTGCAAAAATATATGATGCAAGGGCAGTAGCTAATCCACTCTAGATTTAATTAGTTGATATAGATATAGGCAACGTAGAAAAAGTATAAACCAAAATGATGAACACGCACAAAGCAAAGCAACATAAAAATATTAACAAAACAAATTCAATCCGTAAACCAAGGTATTTGACACTCAAAGTAATGTAAAACGTTTATGTCAAAAATCAACACTTATCACATTGTTACAACTGAATTAGTCGTGACGTAAGTAAACAGCTGATCTATTTTACTAGAATTTTACATGAGTGAGAATGATTCAATTGATTTCTTACAAAATAACTATTTTAACCTTAAAGACGTGTGAACGCAGTGAACGTAAACACCTTAAACGGTAAAATGCAGGATAGTTATCAGTAATTTTGAATGTACCCATAATGCAAAACAACATAAAAACACAAACAACACATGTTTAGTCCGGTAACCAAATCACCCACACGCATAGACATCTGACGAAACTTCTTAATGTTTGTATCAGTTTCTACGTCACGAATGCTCAAATGCTCTGTTTTTAATAAGGTAGAATGAATCAATCATGTTATAATTAATTGAAAGTTTATAAATAACACGATATTAAGTAAATCAACTCCACAAGAAACATATAAAGTTGTTCAGTTAATGGTGATCATTCGTAGCATTGTGTCAGTGATATGTATCAAACTGTACTATTAACTAAGACATATTGGGTTTAGTTAAAAGCTATACATTGGGTGATGTGCAAAAATACGCAAAACAACTGAGTCTTAGAACAATTGTATTTGGATAACGCTTTTTCGTAGAGAGTTTTGTTAGCTGTCAGAATACCTTCGTTGTTGGGGCAGTGACCTGATCGTTGCTGTGACAAGATAGGTAAACTCTATGATAACTTCAAAAGCATAATCGTTAGATGTTCGCCCTGTGTACCCACGATATATATCTTATTTTGCTCTAAATCAATGTTTCCCAAATTTGCTTTTTTTTAATGAGTACCATTTAAATATTTCACACATTTCTATGTTCTCCCTACATAACAGATTACTGAAATATTTATCACTTTTCAAACAGAAAAGATGAACGGTGTCCTTGTTCATAATCTTTTTATATAATCTATATAAATATATCTATTATCTACATAAATACAATCTTTATAATCTTATATATAATCTTTTTGTAATATAACAAGGACAGTTCTTGATCATTCTCTAATCAAATTGTCCTTTTGAAAAAAACACTTTAAATAACCAAAGATAAATTCAATTTATATATATTAAATATAGATTATGATTTCAAAAATATCTTTTCTAACTAAATTTTAAAAGATTATATAGTTTTTCATGCAAGAAAACTTCGGACTTCTATTAAAATCCAATAAATCTCCAAAATTTAAATATTTCAAATTCAAATGCTAGCACTGCAGTATAATACTCTTGGTATTCTTCATCTACTTAAATTTACTTTAAATCTTCCGTTTAACCAATTTGAAATAGAATTTAAAATTTCGAAAATTGAAAAGGTGCACGTGCAACAGGATATCATTTACAGTTCGCATAAAGAATGTCATAAATTCACAAAAATAAAAACAGCAAGGAACGAATCAGGAAAGGACTTCTGAAGTTACGATACACTCAGTTTGCATAATTTTTGCAAATTTTTGGTTCACTATTATTTGAAGTATTTGTCTGCATACGAAATCAAGAATGTCTACAATTCCTTTGCAGTTCCTATGGAAAAAAAGTATTTACAACATAAACGAGCATGACACGGTAGTGTTTATGCTCAAGGACTGCAGCAACGAAACAATTGATATGAGTGCCATAATTTTTTTTCTTTTGGGTGAGCTATGGGTGGAGTACGGTCACTCCGAGGTAAAAATGCACAAGTGTTGCATTTAAGTGCTTCGGTTGGTACTGCAATAATTTCTGTTAAATTTCTGACCCTTGTTTCAACATCAACAGAGTTTATCCAACTCTAAAGTAATTTACATGGTACGTGTGTGGATTATACACTGTTTTGTTACTCCTTTGGTGCATGCCTTAACGAATACTTCAGGTTTCAATGGTTAGGAAATAAATTTGCTGGTTTTCTGCAAACATCAAATTGTTTAATGTTTTGTTAAGGTAAATTACCTACTTTATTACAAATATCTCGGTTTTAGGCAACAAACTAGAACCGAAAAGTTTTTTATTTTAATAGTTTGTAAACGATGTATACGCTTTGGAATACTACTTTAAGGTCCCTGTAAATGAGCATATATATATTATATTTTATGTGTATTCCTTTTTTATATATAAAAGTTAACTAATAATTTAAAATATACACTTGCATCTATATATGCAGAATGTATGCAGCCCAGACCTGTAAAAATATTAAGTTTTGATATATACTTTATGCTTTGGCATCATTAATACTAAAAAGAATATGTGATCCAAGAATCTTATTATAAGTAAAACAACTTTATATATCAAAGAGTTCAATTACAAAATAAAAAAATTATTATTTACTTTTTTGTTGATTTATATTATTTTTAATCAGGCAACATTACGCACACTAGAAACGTAAAGGAAGCTTTCCTTATGATGTTATTATTTTCCCTTCTCTCTATCAATTATAAATAACAGCATTAAATTCTCTACTTTAATTTTGAACGGAAAAACGCAAAAACGCAATCATTGCACTTTAATCATAAACGATTAATTATCAAGAAAGAAATCTACACCAATCTGAACCTATGTATCTAAACCAAATGCTTAAAAATGATTTGGTAAAATGTACTTAAGATGCAATAAAATAAATTATATAAAATATTATGTTTATACATTATTTTTTATTATAAATTCCTAGTTTCAAATTTTTGTTAGTTTATTATTGGAATATATATCTTAAAACTAACTCTAGTAAGCTTCTTTCCAATAGTTACAAATCTGAAGAAGAGTGTTCAGATGTGTTCCGTAACGTGCTAACTCAGAAAAAATTTAAATATATTATGCGTTATATATAAAATATTATTAACATTAGCATACAATGTATCTAATGTACAAAATATAAACACCACAATAAATGAAGAAGTGATTTAATATACGATACTATACACAGCGGAAAACAACATAATATGTTTCCACTGCAGCTAAAACTACTTAAGATAACAAAATTAAGATTTTGTCATTTCCATTGGCATAAGCTGATTTATACACGTGAAATTGCTTGTTTGTTTATATTTTATATATAAAACATATGACAAATATTTCAAATTTTAGTAATTTCCCTAGTGGGAAGTTTATTCTTAAGGATTGTACATTGTATTTTTCGCCTTAAATCAGTTCATTTATTCATAACAAGCTATATGAAACCTCTTTGTATGATAAATTATTCTCATAAACGAACTTAATGGGCAAAACTGTCAAAATGAGACAGCTGGAAATATGGTAAAGAAGCACAAATTCAATCCGATCATCACCAAACAGTTTACACACAAAACAATTCCAAGTAATTGTAGAATTTTGATATCAGCTGATGTAAATTTTTTTTGATATCTTAGTTTTTTTAACAATAAAAATTCAATTGGATTTTACGTTGCCATACTACGTTTACGTGAACATAAATAATCGAACACATTAGGTCTGTTCCACGAGCTACTCGTAGTAAAACTCACGCAAAATACAAACTGAGAGCGTAACACAAATAATGTACCAAATTACGCTCTTTACACAGGTTTTTTACGGAACAGCTTTATGTAAAATATGATGTTTACACCAGAGCAATTTAAATTCAAACCAAAACAGCTGATTTACACATCAACCCAAATTTTACTTGAAATAAAATCTACAGGTAAAGTCTGTGTAGCATTTTCAAATTTCGACAGAGATGTTAAGCTCTCTCAGATGCTCTTATTTACTCGAAAATTTGCTAGTGGAACGCATTTGCGTACACTCAGTGTTACTCAAAGTTACTGCGAGTAGCTCGTGAAACAGACATGCTATAACATGTTTAAAGAATATAATTAGTATGGCAACTCTATTTTTTTGTGTTTTATGTCAATGATTTCTTTCCATTTTTATTTTATATCATTTTGCTTTCTACAGTCAAGAGCAAAAGTTTTTAAAACGGTGAATTGTGGTGTTTATGATTAAATATCGCAAACTAGAAGTGTTTTTTTAAAATATAATCGACAGTGCTTCTAAATTATTAAAAAACGGTAAGGAAAAAGTTAAAGAATAAATGCAAGGAGGTAACTAATATAAAAATTTAATTAATAATAATTCGCAATATTTCTTTAGGATTTGTAAATTACATAGAGATATATAAGTAATCATTATTTGAAACCAACTTCATTAACTGTTCAGAGTTTTATCTTTTTTTACGCGACAGTCTTGTTGGTCACACATTTCGTAAATAAATCATTCTAATCCTTCTGGAGCACCACTATTGGACAACGAATTTTTAGTGAAATCACGTGTTTTGAGCATTGGTTTTTGATATGCCCAACGTTCAAATCACAAATACCTACATAAAAAATAACATCCTTAAATAATCACACCCAATAAAAATAACAACAAATACACCCGCCAGATGATAATGTAAGAATTGCTGTGATTATATTTGACATCATTGATACTTTTCACGTAAAATTTGTAGGGAAGGGAAGGGTTTTTTGCAATATTAAAATTTCATCTTTTAACGCCGGCTTATCCATACGGTTGTTTAATACTCCATATAATTTATATTTTTTTCGCTGATATCTGCTTTATCCCTTTTTGCATTTTGTTTTCGATTCTATCTCAATCTTGGAATTATAAGAGTACCCCAGTGTTCTGACAATTCGATTAAACTTTATCTGATGATATAAAACTATGTTAAAGGTATTGAATTCCATTATTGCTGGAAATATATGTTATAAGAACAACAATATATTCTTTAATCTTAACACGTAGAAGACCGTATTGAAAAATTTTATTTCACACATAGGGACGGCATTTTTTTTTTATTGTTAATTACCTATATTGATTTGATTAAAAAAAATCGTTTTGAAATAAGGTTATGGCGAAATAAGTAAGTCCGCTATATGCAGTATTTCACCGATGAACCGGCGAATAGAATACTGTACATAAATTAAATTTAAATCATGCAAACAGGTGTACAAGCGATCCCCAGGTAAAATATGTCGTGTGCCCACCCGTGAGCAAGCGGGCCGGTAATGTTGTTACAGAGTGACCCACCGGTGGGGCATGCGGTCTTTAACGTGTTAATAACTTGCAATCTTTTGTTGGCTTATTCATTTTATGACATATTTTTATAAAGACGGATAACAATTTTCAAAAATAATTCTTTCGACATCACTTTTATAGTGTCAGATTAATAATGTTACGTGCATATCTTGCAAAATCTTAATCCTTCATTGGATTTTATTCCCGACGCTAAAGCAATTTATTTTAGAATCACAATTTTAACCCAGATGCAAAAGATTGGTACAATATCTTTAGTCTACGGTATGCAGAAACACGTATTTTATTTCTTCAGGATTTCATTTACTTTTATAATTTATAATTTCTTTATAATTAAAATACATGCTGGGAAATACAGATATTAATTTATCTCCTATGATCACCTGAAAATTTTGCGTTGCTTTCCTACTGATTTTTATCTTCCTACGAATGGTTCTCCGTACCATCATCACTATTTATTATGTACACATTTCTTTAAAAAATATTAATTACAGCTTAAATTGTGTGATTAACCAAATTAAGTTATCAACACAAACGACATTAATTTTAAAAATATTTTAACTTTTATTGCCATTTTTCTGGTAGCGAAGGCTATTGACTCGTTTGAAATGCGTAGACGTAATTATTTGCAAAATAAACAGGGGAGGACGTTTCTAAAGAAGGTATGTAGAAATATATGCTTATGTCTTTTAAGAACGATGGTTTTCATTTTTACAAATACATAATTAATAAATAAAA